TAATCATATCTCATGGTTTGGGCATATTAACCCCTTTCCTCAGGGTTTGGTTTTTTCTGGGACACCCTGTATAATGTGGGCATGAATTTATGCAGGACTGAACATAAACAACTCAAGGTCTAACCCACAACCTTGAGACAATGTATCATTTGCAGTCAGCAATGCAATTTGCCATGCATCCTCAATCCTCCAAAATCCTCCAAAACCACCTTGAAGATTTTGAAGGATTGAGGATGGTTAGGTTGATATTAATTTTCTTGATGTTCGTGCCTCATTCACAGGTATTGGCCTGGCCCTAGCCGCTGCCGTCAAGGGATACCGCTGCATCATCGTCATGCCGGAGAAGATGAGCAACGAGAAGGTGTACGTCTTAAGAGCCCTGGGCGCTGAGATCGTGCGCACGCCCACCTCGGCAAGGTTCGACTCGCCTGAGTCACACATCAGCGTAGCGCAGAGGCTGAACAAGGAGATACCGAACTCTGTCATACTAGACCAGTACAGGAACGAAGGAAACCCACTGGCCCATTACGACACCACAGCCCAGGAAATCTGGGACCAGTGCGAAGGTTGGTGCCCCGCCTCATGATGGGCAAGTCCCGATGCTAAAATGGTGGTTGCTAAAAGGGGCATGCTTTCAAGACCCCAATCCAGAGGCATGTTTGTGACGTCAAAGCAATATCCAGGAACATGTTTAAGAGTTGCCGATTTTAGAACCAGAAATGGTTATATCAACCAGGAGAGTCAAAGTGCAATCTAGAAGACAGCAATTTTCTGTCAATATCTAGCAGGCTTTGTACTGTGCTGCTCTCTATAAATTCCAGAAGAAAGTACATGTACCCAATCTGGTTTGCTTCATGTAACAACAAATTGGGCGATACCAGGTACATCATTCATTTTAGATATTTTGGAGATCATTAAAAAAATTGTTTGCTCCAGCAAACAGAGAGTGTTGGTACTCTCTTTGTATGTTTAATGGACATACATGAATACTCTACGCACGCATGCAGAATCTCCGATATTGTCAAGCTTTGTCAATCTCAACTGACAGCAAGGGTTATGTTCATGGACGATGATAAGAAATGTCTATTCCTGTTATTAAAAGTCGTAATTCAGGCAATTTTAGTGGCAAATATGGGGCACGTGTGAAGGGAAATGTGGACCAACCAAAGTTTCTTTTCGAGGTCCCCCCCCTGATGTTTTCCTTCAAAAAGTCTCCATTTTTGTACATGCAAAAGTACTGATCAGAAAAACCCTCCTCTCAGTGAGTACCGTGCCATGGATGGTAACTGAAACGTGATCGAACAAAACATGTTTGCTGCAAGTACTAAGAGTTGACAAAAGTGCAGCAAACTTATTAAATTGCCTGCGGTTGTTTTACTTTCTAAAGGGTTTTCTTTCATGAGATGAACTTTTTGTCCCAGAGGATTAGCCGTGCTATTTGCTTTTTAAAGACACGCTGCTCACTGCATTATTGGTCACCACTCATCTCTCTGCAGGCAAGGTTGACATGGTTGTCATGGGCTCGGGAACAGGTGGCACCATGACGGGCATTGGTCGGAAGCTCAAGCATTTAAACCCAGATATCAAGGTGAGAGTTCAGGTGCTAGACCCAGGAGGACTTACCAGTAGAACCAATGCATAATTGTACTAGTATTTATATTCACACGTGTACATGTTCATTACCCACATTTAAAGTTTACCTGTACAGACATAGTGTGGACCTTAGTTCAACATACAATGGCTGCATTTCTCTCATGCCATGAGCACTCCATTAAAGCTGGACCTACACTATACAAATATGTTTCCTTGAATAATCCTCATTATTTTGTGAGAGATAATCCCCCAAAATGCCTCTCAAATGTGCATGGACCTGGCTTAGTCCACCCAAGGTTTATACCCAGGCTTAAACTACTGTACACCCATTTGTTCTGACAAGATAACAAGGTTGGCCCAGGCCAATGTGTGCCTTACACTTTGTTTTTTACTCTTCACTCATGTACTTGTGAGGACCCCAGGTACATATTCACATTGCCAGTATCCTTCCTGTTTTTCTCCAAAATCAAATTCCATCTACTGCATCGGTACATTGTCCTCCAACAACACGCTTTTTACTGGCATAATCGCACACAAATTTTCAGGCTACGTCCAGCCCCATTTCGCATGTTTACTGATACCAGCACATGAATGGTTAGTAGTCCTCACTCCAGTGTTATTATACCGGGACAGCGCAAAGCCTGAGTGTGGATTTGGATGACCATTCAAAGTGAGTTGCGGTCAAAGTCGGTCATTCTAAGAACCAAGTAACAGAACTTGTAATTGGACTTCTTAACCACAGAGTACCAAGTGCATACATGTACATGTATAAGTACATGTACTTTACTTACACTCCACATGCTGATCCACCCTCATCTGCATGGACCCACTACTGAGCACAGCTTGTTCTATAGGGGGTATCAGGTTTATGGTATCAGAATCACAAATCTTTTTCTCTTTTGGGGGTCCAGATCGTGTCCTTTGATCCCCACGGCTCTACTCTGGAGCCGCCGTTCTTTGACAAGCCCACCACGCCCAACGTCCCCTACGAAGTGGAAGGCATCGGCTACGACTTCATCCCAACCGTCTTGGACCACCAGGTGGTGGACGATTGGGATAAGTGCGACGACAAGGAGTCGTTTCTGATGGCCAGACGACTGATCAGGGAGGAAGGGCTCCTGTGTGGTAAGATTTGAACAGTCCACAGTGCAACTGTAGTCAAGATGAGCTAGAGTGAGGCATTACTGCACATGTAGGTTTTTGTCAGACTGACGAGTGCTATCAAACCGAACGTTACATGTAGACAACCATATTATTCGTATCCAATTTGCAAAGCATAATTACTGCACCACCTGACGTACATGTATGTAATTGGGTATTAAATTTACCGGTATGCCATAATCTGTTGTTCAAGCTGTCATTATTCTCCACACAGTAACCTTGTACAGGTGTTCATAACACTCTTGTAATTCATTCGTTATCCGAAACGTTTAAGTTTTTTCTTGTCAGCTGGACGCACCGGGTACTGTAGCATGTGCGTGCACGTCATACATGTACGTGAACCAGAAGCATTTGGATGAACATCCATTAACATACTAGGGGCGTCTGCAACATTTGAATCAAATTTGACATTGTTTTTCTGTCATTTGCAGTATCCACACTTTCAGATTAATGACATCTGTTGATTCCATAATAGCAACAAATAAAGCTACAAGTGGTAATGCTTACTGATGCGTGAGAATCACATGTGCAGTAGTGTAGACCGCGTTATGTACCTTGGAAATGTGCTTGGAACATGCGAAAAATTAACATTCAAGGTGCCTACGTAAAAAGTATAATCTCCAAGGTAATTGGTTGTGCAGATTCTAAAATAAACTTTTTACAGCACTACTATGGAACACTGAGAAGACAAATATTGTCAACCAGTCAAAACTGCCGCGAGAAATGTGCATGAATTCTTGCGAGTGACAAATCTTTATGCAGATTAGCAGCAGACGGGTGCTTATGCGACATGCCCGAAGCTCCCAAGCTCTGAATATACATGTAAAAAAATAAGGAGCAATACTACTCTTGTCCCAGACTCCTCGCTCCAAAGGGTACCCATAAGAGCTTTGATCATGTCGCTGGAGCACCTGTTCACTGCGAAATTTGTCTATCTCAAGAATTCATGCACGCCGCTCTCGGCAGTGTTGGCACTTTTACAAATGTACAAGGACAGTGATTTTTCTTCTTAAGATTTGGCGACTGGAAAATTCCCAACAAAGAGAATCACTGGGACATAAATTGACTGGAGGTGTTTCAGCCCCTAAAACCCGCCGACAATGAGTGGGTAGACCCTTTAACTGTCTAGACAGCTGTCTGGGTTGTTTCATGTTGTGGGGGGTGTCACATATTTGTTGACTTGGTGGCCCCCCCCCCCACTGGATAAAAGGTACCGTGACTGCATTCTGACCTTTTTTTCTGGGTTTTTTTTATTTGTGGGTTTTGGTCAACACCCAAAGACACCCTCAAATCAATTTAAATGCCATTACAAGGGTCTTTGGGGTTGGGGGGCATGATTACAAATGGCCATTTATCATAGAAGGAGGGGGCACCGTGATCGGTTAAATTTATTCACAAAACAACTCCAAAAGAAAGCGTTTGACAAGGGCAGTGACTGCACATGATCACTTAAGGCACACAGCCTAATACAAGCAACTGCACAAGCATTCAATTTGATGTTGTCAGATCGTATACATTGTACACATGTACCAAGCACCAACGATAGCATAAATATTCAACTTCCAGTTATGCAGTACACAACATTTTAAGAATGCAGATTAGCAGCAAAATATTGTTTGTTTACGTACATATTTTTCCACTCTGATTGGTAAAATTTCCTCCTCTGATAGTAAATCTACATGTACATTAACTAGTTCTAGAATCTGTCTTTTTTCTTCATGTTGTATTTTATTGCTCTGTTATTGAAAAAGTACATGTATGCCAAAGTACATGCAGAATATTGTATGATAATTTAAAAAGCTTTATACCTAGAAAATCAACAATTTTTTTGTACTAGTCCGAATTTGGAGGCACATACATGTAGTGCGGTCTGTAATCCCAAGAACTCTATAAGTACTGTACATGTACATATTCATTATGCACATGTACTGGATTACAAATGAGATTTACATGTATAGCATGGGTACCGTATTTTGAAACTCGGCAAATATCAGCTGGATCTCCTCTTTTAAAAGCCTAATGCATTCAAATATTGAAATAATGAAGACATCTGTTTTATATGCTGATTGTGCTGACTTTCAACTAATGAACACCGGTACACTGCATAGATGTATGTACACGTACATGTACATGTTTGTACCTGTTTAAATTTAATGGGCCATATGGTTTCAATCAAAAGAATTCAGTACCATGTCTGAAAATATGGGTACCGTAGGCAACAGAGCTCTGTTTATCTGTACAGATGCGCACATGTTTTACATTCACATGTATTTTAACAGGATTCCCATGGTCGTGTAAAGTCCTGACACAGTCTTGAAAAAAAAGGGTGCCTTAAAAAGGGAAACACAGACGCCTTGTAAATTTGTTTTTTTCTTGAATGTGACTAATTATTTTTGTACATGTACATGTTAACCATCATCTGTTTCATTATGACAATCCAAATTTCCGTCACAGATGACGTCACAGATGAGCATGAAGTGGTTTAATGGACCAAGTCAGAAATGGCTTTGCTCTGAATACCAGTAGCTGTTTGGGTGTTGAATTTATACTTCCTAGAGATGGCTTTTTTCTTTGGTCAGAGTTATGTAATGTTTGCCAGAAAGGGCCTTCCCTGGGTTAAAGGGACAAATTCCTTTATTGGGAAATTTGAACCTGCATTCTAGGCACAAATATTTGTCCTCATAAACTTTTCAGTATTATTCAATGTGGTCTGCATACCCTGGTAACAAATATTAGGGTCTATGTCCCTATTCATGTTTTATGTATAGTAACTGTTGTTTTATAGTCATTCTAAATTGTGACCCACTCTGCAAAAATGAGTCATAAGTCGCCAGGGCCACTTTGTGAGTTTTCATTTGTATTGGAAAGAGCAAATTGAGTTTTTTGTTTTGATGTATCACTCAGTTTGGCATCCTGATGAAAATGGATACTCCATGGTGAAAAATGCTGTGGGTTCATATTGATTTACACTGTGCAAATTATTCTAAAGGACTTTTTACTCAAAAGTGGCTCTAGCGACTTAAGACTCGTTTTCACAGTGTGGGTCATAATTGGTCTCAACCAAATTATGCATGTATAGGGGAAGGATTGCATGTACCTTTGTCAGTCATGTCAGTGCAGCAGAAATGCACTGGATGTGCCAGGCGTGCCAGGTGTACATACATGTACATGTATAGTGGTATTGTACATAAGGCATTGACTCATTGTAATTATAACAAATATTTGACATTTACCGTACATTATAAAATGATTTGAAGAAATGTACACATTACACCCCTCTCATGCAAACTCTAGCCCACGTACATGTAGAGTACATGTTTTTGCTGCTGGAGCAAGTTTCAGTTGTGACTTTCATGTAGTCATTTAATGGTTTGGACATCTTCTGCAGGTGGCAGTTGTGGAGCGGCGGTTTCAATTGCTCTGAGGGCAGCCCAGTCACTGACTGAGGGCCAGCGCTGCGTCGTCATCCTTCCAGATTCAGTCCGGAACTACATGTAAGTAGGCGTGCTGGCTCGATGCTCAAACAACCGCAGAGAAAATCACAGACAACGATATTTCCTGTAAGGGCAGCACTTCTCTGAAAATGCTGTTGGTACCTTAGATAAGAGATACTGCCATGCCTTGGACAAGTTTATTTGGGAGTACAGTATGTCAGCAAGTGATCAAGACAACGTTCTACCCTGCCAAATGTACATTTGTATGCCGCAATATCCCTGGCCCTTCCGCTGATGCCCCTAACCTTTTCCTCAACCCACCCAGCCCTAGTCTGCGGTGGAAGGCCAGTGATGTGTCATCATCCTACCAGACTCATAAAGGAAATACATGTTCATGTAGTTACGCTTGGTGGCGCTCTACTCAAAACACCCCAATCTCACCTATGCCTCCTCCCCACTCTGTCCGTGTGACCAAAGGCTAATGGTGACCAGACTCAGTGCTGCATGTATGTAGGTGGACGTACTGAATCCTTGCTAAAAACAACACTTCCCCTGACCCCCTAGCACTCCTCCTCCCCTTCCTGTTTCCCCTCCCCCCGCCATCCACCCCTGTGAGAGGCGGCAACAATATGTAGTCATCTTACGTTATTAACCCCCTCCCACCCCACTGCTGAATAACTGAGAACCTTGAGGGGACAGTTTAACACAGTTGCAGCCATATGCTGGACATCAGCAAGGATAAATACGTACCACTGATAGTGGTGTATTTCGGAGCAAGAATACCGATACAGTGCATTACCTCAAGGGAGACCATGTGTTGCTTGATGAAAGACCTCCCATTCTTGTTCATGCGCACAATCTCTAGCACAAACCACACTTAAAGACTTGGGCCACGTTCCTCAGAGCTTGTCCAGAAGGAACAGCGACAGCCAATGAAAACTCAGCTTGCAAGTATTCTGAAAATTGCTATTTCATGCACCGCCCATATTTGGATTACAGTGTCCCGTGATGTTACAATGCACCTGTAGGCATACATGTGCATGTACATGTACTTTGGATAACACTGGTACCATGGTTAATCACTGATAGACTACATGTATACTGCAAAAAGCACCTGTGCATTTTTGTTAACTGTCGTCATATAACAGCAAATATAATCAAGTGTTGTAGAAATATTTACAAATAAGTCATTTGGGAGACATTTTGTGGTAAATTTTTCAGCATTAGGGAGACATTGGCTTCTAGGGAGACATTTCAGTGTCTCCCTATTTTCAAACTACCAGAAAGAGGCCAAAATTTACCGTCCATATTTTGAGAGATGATAGTTTGGGGCCTAAAATGAAAACATACAAAGTTTGGTTCAGATCAGATCAGGGAATATTGAATTATGGGACAGTAAAGTTGGAAAAATTTTGTGCACGTTCTTATGGGAATGTCTCTCTAATGACCCATTAGCGGTAACTCTAAGCTCAGAACTTACCAGAAACAGTGCACATGTACATTATGCAACATTTTTTGCTGGCAAGCTGCTCCATTGATGAAAACTTTTTTCCTAAATTGTGAGGGCATGTTGTTAAAGTGCCAAGGGAAAAAGTGGTTTTTTGCATAATGCGCCTGAGTTTGTCAACATTTGTTCTTCCAGGACTAAATTCCTGTCTGATGACTGGATGGTGGAGAAGGGTTTTATGGACGTGGAGCATGAAGGACACAACCCCGAGAAGGAATGGTACAGTCCACAATGAATATTCATTCAGTGACTTACTTGCATTTTTTCAGATTTGCTGTGTGTTCAGTCAAACTGGTCAATTACTTTACTTCTTCTGGACCTCTTTTTTTTTGTGGTTGTCTGCGAAGGTGGTGGAATTTGAAGGTGGCTGTGCTGAAGATAGATGCACCTCTCACCGTCCTGCCAACGGTTACTTGTCAGGAGGGCATCAACATTATGAAACGGGAGGGATTTGACCAGCTGCCAGTGGTAGGAGAGTCAGGGTAAGGCTGGAGAATTCCAAGCAATCAGCACGTGAAACCCTTTCGTTCCAGTGCAAGGAACTGTGAAACCTTTTGAAATCTTGTTCGGCTTTAGGCTTTGTTACTTTAGTCCACTTATGAGGCCCTGGTCCAGTGTATTTTCATTTGGTTAAGATGGTCAACCTCCAACTCTGATTGTGGTTGTGGAGAGGAGACCTGAGCTTGGAAATAGCTAGGATTTGGACATTAGCCCAAGTGAGGCCACGTACATGTAGGGTCGTCATCTAGCCACGTGTTTAAGGAACGTACCTAAAAAACGAGTCGGATTGAAATCAAAACTTGGCAGAGAGTTGACAAGCAGATGTTTATTTTTGTCCAAGAAGAAGTTTTTATGGCCAGAAAAAAAGAGTGCATTGTGAGCTGTCCCCATGCCCCAATTGGACTGCCGTATGGTTGTAGGATATGGTGGTAGGACATATTCATAACACCTGCTGCTGTGCATATGAGGAGCCAACCCTATAATGAAATCCCAGTACATGATTCAAAGCTCGAGTCTCACCTTGCGTGCACATGTGCATGAGTTGGCATGAATATACTGCAGTATGCCAGACGGTCGGGCACAAATTATTCAGGACAATTTTTGACCTAAATTTGACCTATTTCGTCCCACATCACGGAATAAAACCACCAATGAGCTAGTTAAAGCAATGTTTGTCTATGTGTTTCCACACAGGGAGGTTCTAGGGGTGGTCACCCTTGGCAGTCTGATGTCTCACATGATTGCTGGCCGTGTCAAGCCGACCACCCTGGTGGAAGGAATACTCTACAAGCAGTTCAAAAAGGTCAGAAGGGGAATTTATTTTTCCCAAACTGGATTGGGGGCATTTTGTTCTTGAGTTCCTCTAGTTAATCTTCGCCGCTTTTAGCAGAGGTACCCCTTCGTCTGTTGAAAGAGCCATGGTGGTGAACCTTCTATTGCTAACCACATCGTGCCCTCTCTTGGTCCAGCTAGGGGTCCATTCGAAGGAGTAACGTCCTTTATGCAATGTTGCTGTGGCCCTGTGCACTTGTTTCAATTTTTTTTTGGGGGGGGAGTCAACTGTTGCACATACTGTACATCATCAGTCAGGTACCAGAAAACTCTGGGGCTTTGTCCGTGCATCTAAAGTCCTCCACAGACATGAATAATCGAATTCCAAGAATAAAATGAACTCGGTGGTGAATTGTAGAAATGTATTTTTAAACAGGTGGTGGAGAAATTGATGTTTTTGAAAATTAACAAGATAACAAAGAATTAGCCCAGCACCTTCTATACAGAAATTAAACATTGATCCAAAGCACTTCATCGATCATTGCCATAAGTTAAGATGTTTGGCATGTCGAGAGATGCTGACATAACAGTTGTATGTTGCTGATGTCTGGAATCCTGAATCCTCAACATCTAGGCACAAACTGCATCGCAAAGATTTTCATCACTGGCAAAATGTTGCCTGTTTTTGATCCACACAGGAGCAATTGTACAACACTGGGTTGCAGACCTGCCAACCTTTACGCATTTTGCGTACCATGTACGCACTTTGACATCCAAGTACGCTGGTACGAGATCTAATGCAAAATGTACGCGATAAAGCGCAAAAATGCCAAATCTACATTTATAGAGACCGAATGACCAACAGAGGGTGCCCTTGTAAGCCAGCTTGCAAAAATAATGCTTGGTTCCTTGACTCCCATATGACACAGTTAAAAGCATTTTAACCCCCCAAAGAACCACACTCATTTCAGGGGCGTAGAGCCAAATCGGCTGTTTAGGGCTAAGTCTAGGCCTGCACCCATTGAAAATACCCACGGACGTGCTGACGTAGCCATAGCTCTGGAAGTACATCTCAGTGTGACACCGGCCACACAGCTACTCAGGCCCAGTGCGCGTGTCGTTGTCGCCACTGCTGTGATTACGCCATAGTTTTGCGGGCAACATAGAGGCCGATCAGTGTCAGATTCGGATCATATAGATGGGGAGTGCTTTCCCCATCGATATGATGATCCACCTGAAAAGAAAATGAGATTCCATGCTCCACAGAAGGTTCTTGCTAGTTATAAAAAGTTATGAGGCAAAGCTGTCAAATGGAACGGCTAAAAATAGCTGATGGTACAGTGTAGGTGAAACAAATTTCATCACAGAATGAGTACATAACAGCAGATTTGAAAGTATGCAGAATGTTTAAGCACCTCACTGTATACAGAAATAACTTAATCCTTGAAAATTTATTCAATAAATCCATGAAGTACAGTCGAACCTTATTACTAAGAGCACTGTTAATGCAAGAGTCCTGTTGTAACTGTACATACAAGTTCATTACAGTGAAGTGGTCCATAGTTGTTTTTTTTGATTGAGTGTAAGCATTGTGCCAACAACAGTACAAGTAGTAAGGCTCCTTGGTTATGTCGCCATGCACTGGGTTTCTGGTCTATGCCGCTTCACCGATGTGGTACTCGAAAAAATTTGTCAAGGTTGGCAGGTCTGGGGTTGTCATAATATAACTGCGGAACGAGCATGTGTATAACGACTACTTGGCAGTCAAAGTATTCAACCAGGCTTTGACCTTTACCCCCTGCAGGTGACCCTTGACAGCACACTCGGCCAGTTGTCTCGCATTCTGGACCACGACCACTTTGTGTTGGTCACTCACAACCAGAAACTATGTGAGTATCACTAAGGCTCAGATTTGCAGATGTCTTAGTCGTAGCAGTGTTTAAAACGGGCAGTCAGTCACTCAGAATGACAGCTATCGTCTCCCAATATTTACGACTGTACATGTATGTTTAACAACAACAGCGACCAATAGTTGGACCTGCAGATTTAGTACGGGTATTTTGCATTGAAAATTTGGCCCCCCCCACCTGCCAGATTCAAGTCCTCTCTTCTAATGATCAGCAGCATATCACCATGGTGATGCTAAAGAGCATGTTATTTCTGATCACTATGAAATTCATGCAGTTTTGCCACTTTGGATTCGGGGGGGAGGGGTGGATGCAGTTTTGAATATGAGACATTGACCCTCCTGCTGCCAGCCCTGTCCAAACTGCAATCCGCCAAGAGTTGTAATGCACCATCGATCGGCGAAAGAAAGACAGGTGGTTACAAGTGGGTTCTTGCATGCGTTCTGCCTTTATGCAAAGACCATACATGTTGGAATGCGCGTGGTCAGCGTGCTTCACGTCAAACGTGCATGTACATGCACGCCTCATGGTGCACCTATGCAGTGAGGACCAAAAATAGCACGCCCTCTTATGTTCCGCTCGGGGAGGGGGGGATAGCGTATGAAAAAGGATGATTTTTCTTCTAGATTCTGTCTCCCTCAAGTGTAGCAGGCAGTTTCTTGAAAAACTCCCATTTTCGCCTTCCGAGTCAAATGACTCAAAACTACAAAATGTTTGCTTGGAAATGTCTTTTATGACAGCTAGCAAGTCAAGAACGAGCACATGTACACTGCTTTTTATATTTTCTTGTGTGCCCGGACGAAGGTCGTAAGCACTTATGATCTTTTACCAGAAGCATAATAGCTGCCAACAAATTTTTTCCCGGCAAAAGGACGTATGTATGCAACTGTTTTATTTTAATGAATATAAAGATTTCTTTGCAAAAAGTTCCAAAAAATCTCCAAAGTCGTTTGAAAAGATGTTCAAAAGTTGCTTTTTGCACAGCCTGTGTTGATTTTGTAGTAAATGTTATCCGTTTTTACTTAAATGAAGAGAGTGTGTTTGTTATGCCCTTTTACCGGGAACATTTTTTCTACAGTGATCATGCTTCTGGGCAAAAGGGCGTAAGTGCGCTTACAACCTTCTGTCGGGCACACAACGATTTGTTTTTTGTGATATTTCTATATTTGGTAAGGACATCATGAGGCTCCGTTTTGAAAGGTTTAAAGTTACTGATGATAATCGGGTACTTGTATCCATTTACAGCCAAAGTGCAGAATCCTCCTCTCAGGCCGTCGACAGGTGCGTCTCTTTCCTTGAGTTGCATCTCCAGGCCTCCTAGACCGAATTCATCAAAGCCAAAAAAACAAACAAGCAGGGCACTATTCGCTTCGGTAGAACCTGTTAGATGGACATAAATTCACTCCATTGGAATAGCATCCTGCTATCCATCCCGAGTTGAAGTCCACCCTCACCGGCCCGGCGGAGATGGGCCGGAGGGAGGTTTTTCCAGGCGGGCTCATGCTCACGCACAGCGGTGGCAGGAAGATAGTACGTTCAAACGCAAATTGGCAGCGCGTGCTCAGTATGCCTCAAATCAAATGCACACGAACCTGTGAATTCCAAAGGGCTGTCATTATTATGCATAAACATGTCCTGACTTGTTTCCAGCGGGAGCAGATTCTGGCTTTCATTTTTAGGTCAGTTGCCTACCTGTACCATTTGTTAGAGGTTACAAATACGAACACGCTTCATTGGTTTCCATGTGCTGGATTTCAGTTTTTTCACCATTTTGATATCAGGCAAATGTGTGATACCATCCAGAAGCATCTGGTGTGAGGTTTGTTTTGCAAGAGAAGAAGTCACAATTAGATAAGGATCATCATTTATGAATTACGCATACATGCACATGCTTATGTAATACAGCATACATGTACATTCACCGCTGTGTGTTCATACCCACAACGTACAAGCTATTTTTAAACTCACTTTAGTTATAATTAAAGATGAGGTTCATGCAGCTTTTGTTGAGGACTGTTGGTTGTTCCCCATATGAGAGTGTATAATACATGTACATGTACGTGTAACAGAATCATCCTAATGTGATAAGGGTATATGTACATTATCTTGCGCATGCACTAGTACGTCTGCACTAGTAAGCAGGAGGTCATGGGTTCGAGTCCCACCTGAGTACACTTGTGGGTTTATTCACAAGCCTTCTGGGGCAAACACTGAGTATACAGTGTTGTAACGCTCGTCGGGCAGGGCAAAAATCCAAAATTAATTACATTTTCTTGCACACCTATTGGTGTATGTGTGCATACGGGCGTGCTTAGGTGTCAGGGTGCGCATGGACACTCTACATGTGTACATGCACAGTCTTTCACTATATTTCATTAACCCTAACAGTCCCAAATCCTCCAATTTCAATACGATTTTACATACACCCTAGGGGGTTAGGGTTAAGGGTGGGGATGGAACCTTCCCCCGAAGATCTTGGGCTCAGTCAACTGTCCCATGCCTGATCTTTTTTGAATTTTGGCATGCATCTGTGAAATTTCAATTCAATCTGACCTAGGAATTTGTCATTGTAATCATTTACCGTTTATGGCTTAACACTTCAACTCATGTGCATCAGGCTCATCAATGGGAAAAGTTTGCAGTTTTAGATATTTCACGAGCAATTGCTCCATTTTAATTAAATAATTTGCAGCGTTGTAGTTGGGTACTTTCCGAGTACCAACTTTCTCTGCAAAATACTGAACTGGGTAAGAGGGAATAAAGCCAGACTGCTCAGGCATTTGATGGTAAATGTGCAGAGGTAAGATTACAAAATAAATGTTAGACTTCAGACACTCCGAGTTGTGTAAAATTTAAATTTCAAGGAGAAAAGTACTCGGCCGAGTACTTTCCGAGTACTTTTGTCCTAAAAAGTTAATTTTAATCAAACAGTGACGGTCTGAAGTCATTATGTTGCTTTGTAATCTTACCTTTATGCATGTACCATCAAATGCCGATTTACTTCAGCTTTGTTCCCTTCTAACTAGTTAAATATTTGGTAGAGAACTTGGTTCTCGAAAAGTACTCGACTACATCACTGATAATTTGCCAGTATGATCGTGGATACCCCCGTGCACGTTTCACGTCAAGGGTTTCTTAGTCTTTTCCCCGCAGATTTGCTATTTTTCAGCAACTGATGAGACAAAGTTTTATCACATCTTGCTCATCACTGATGGTCATTGTCCTTCCTCTTACAGATTCCGGTGAGGAAGGGTTTACCTCCAAGGAGGTCATCGTAGGCATTTCAACTCGCATCGATCTGCTGAACTACATCACGAACACCCATCCCTCATCTTAATGATCTTAGAGTGTCGAGTTGTGCAAAAAAAATTGCTCAGAGACTGCAGTCATTACCCTGTTCAGGCAGGGTAATGCATCTTTTGATTTTCAAGAGTAAACTATGGGGAAGATTCTAGTGGCTGTACTTGGTACACTTTGGTTTGTGATTGTGAGAGTCTGCAGAATGGTTTTTCACCGTTGCTTGACTTCTTGGAATCAACAGGGTGCACACCTTGCTAGTGTTGAATGTTGTCAAATTCATTGGCGCTCACACTCGTTTGGGTAGAGTTTCTTCTTTGTGATTTGACTGCGTGCACTTTGTTGCACGACTCTGTAAACAGGAGCAGGGTCCACACTTTGCCAGCGTTGAAAATACACTGTTCATTCATTGACGTTCACACCTATTATGGATTCTTTGTGATTTGACAGGGTGCACGTCATTGTCGCAAACGCAGTGCACACTTCTCAGTTGTTGCTCAACCTGTTTGTTCTTGGGGATTTCCGGTGTTACATCCTGTTAGTCTTGAATAATGAGTCATCTATTTCAAAACAAATGTTAGTGGGAAATTACGAAGCGCACAAACATTTATTAGGGAAACAGAACAAAAGTGAGAAAGGGTCCACCTAGAAATTATTGTCTGCGATGTAGGGGTTCATGGTGTTTTGTACACCTGAGGAGGGCAAACGGCACTCGAGGCAAAGCCGAGGGTGCCATTTGCCCTTGAGGGTGTACAAAACCCATGGACCCTGTCACAGCAGGCAACAATTGGTTTGTTGTACCCTGGGGCATAGATTGGAGCGGTCTTATTTGTTCTATATGCTTTTTTATTGCAAGATAAATTAAAACTCTCTGACAAATTGCAACACGTGAACAGCAAACTAGATATAAATTACAAGGAAAATTATTGATTTTGAAGTCGTTTGTTGACTTTTTTTGTTTGGTTTGGTTTTTTGGGAGGGGTCTAATATTTGTAAAAAATGGTTTACCACTACAGTGACCTGGCATTCGTAAAGCACCGGGGTTTTGTAGGCTGGTTGAATTTCAAGATTGAAGACCAGACGAGAAGAGACAAACAGCACGAGTCTTTTAATTAACAGAAACAGCAGCAGAGACAGTGATCGTACTCGTGCTCCACGAGCACAACTGGGTGCAAGGTTACCCCGCGGGCCCGATGGACACCTAACCAAAGAAACACGGTGCAATAACAATAGACGCTCATTGTAAGTGCACTGTTTCTTTTTGTTACATGTTCGTATTGTTGTCTCCTTGTGATGGTCAAAGTGAAGAGAGTAGCATAATCCCACCAGGTCTTCGGGATTATTTTGCAAGGGGAAAAAAGTCATTATTTGTGTGGCATGCGTTGTGCGCGTATTCAGTTCCTGCTATTGAAACAGAGAACACCGTGGTCGTCATGCATGAACTCTTTACACCTTGGCTTTTTAAACATCTGTGGCCAACTTTTTTTTTTAGTTGAATGTTTCCTGACGCCAGCTGAGACAAAACGTTTTAAATGGTCGTGTGCCTTTTGTGCACACAACCTTTACTATATATATATGTGTGTGTGTGTACAGGAAGAGGTGACTGTCCCTCAGAAATTCTCCTCGGGAGACGTTTACATTTGGATGCCAGAGGAGTGTTTCCTTACTGTGTAATGTGCATGAAAATGTTTTGTGCTTGACTTTCTGAAAAACTTAATACATGATTTTGACAATGACGTCACAATTGTGAATATATGTAGGTCATTTTTCTAAGTCGGTAAAGGTCATCAAAACGGTTGATTTTAGTTGTCCTTGATAGTATAGTCGGTATCTTCAAAACAAGACGTTTGTTCGGAATTATGAAGCACAGATACACCCACTAACCTGGATAAGGTTGGTTTCTAGTCGGATTATGCTGTCGTTCCTGTAAGGTAGCCCCTGTGTGGCCACTGTGTGGTGTCGCGTTTGAATTAGTCTCTTAACAATCACTCATTTACCCTGATATCTCAGTTCATTTTGGTCTGGCATTGTCAAAAAATTTGTTTACTCCTAAATGACTCGTTTCTAAAATATCTCTTTACCCCAACATTTGTTCCAACCTTTCTACCGACGATTACCATTAAAACAAAAACAAGAAAGTACTCCGAACAGGGGTGGCACTGAATTTTTAATCGATCACACCTGTACGAAGTGTCTTTCGTATTTGCTCTAAAACTAAGCCCTCCGAAACATATATTTGTTATATGAAAAATTATACAGATTATCTCTTCAGTCTCCTGACGACGGACTGAGCACGCAGTCCGAAACGTTCAGTATACTCCCGGTTCTTTTCTTAACCACACATACTCATGAGGGAGATGTATTCCTTCGCACGGTGCTACGACAAGCCTTTCCTCCTGTTGCTGTCCTTAACTATGAATAGCCTGAAATTCCAACTATACAGATAATGTTTACTTGGCCTCATATGTAAGGCTGAGAAGAATTGCATGTACCTTTAACGAGTGGCATTACGTCAGGGTATTAACCATAAGTACGTTTAATTACACGAGTTGCACAGCTAAATGGGTAGTAGCCATCAGCTTACCGTAGAATCAGTAAACATGGAAAGGGGTGAATAAACTTTTAAGTGGATCTGAAATATTTCGGCTTAAACAGAGGTAAAGACCTTTTAATTTTTGGCATGAGGGGGAAAACAGTCGGCTGCACAATAGCAGCAAACTGTATTTATATTTTTCCTAGTCGTTACGAAGTCCAGTTTGGACAGAGCAGTCGAGTAGGGCTAGTACCACTGAACCTCGTAGAATATTTTTCTTATCCCGTAGGTTATCGTTTCTATTAGTTACAGAGTTTTTTGTGTTCAACCTGGCAATTTTAAACTTTGCAAGTAATATGTTTATCTCTTATTTTAGTAATCATTTATGATGTAAAAAATCTAGGAATTATATTCAGATTTGGTATAGCTGCTCCGTGTACTCGCATACTATGTGCCTCTAAAATATATAGACATGTAATCATTCAATAAAAAGCTTGCGTGGCATGAACCTACGGATCAAATTTGCTTTGTTTCAGTAATCAAGCCGATAATATAATTGTGTTTATAGGCTTTTGCGGCTAGGTTGGCATATCTCTGTGGTTAAGACATTTGTTCTGCATCTGAATTTTGCGGCTGCATGTTCTCATCTGGGGCATTTCACATATTAAATAACTCAACATTGATTGGTTTGTGTCATGGCAGATTTGATTCTATCAAACTGCGTGGGCGTGAAATCAGACAGCAGCTTATTCAAATGGCTAGATGCATTGCAGAAATTGTATTGTACAATTGAGCCGTACTTAATAGTTACATCGTTTAAGTAAACAAAAATCTTCAAGGAGCACGCGTAGAAGTAAAGTGATTAGTTATGAAAATTAACAGAAAATAAGTGGCATAGAACAAAAAATGATGCCATCACTCGATTTGACCCTAAAAGAGCCAGGTTATTTTGGCCCATCTCACAGCCGCTGAGGTGGGGGCAGATTCCATCCCCCGGCTCGTTTAGGGTGAAACTTTGACTTAAGTTTATAAGCCGTTGTCGATCAGTTCCTCAAGCAAACGAGGTACCGGTAACGACCTCTTCCGGATCTGGAAAGAAAAGAAACAGGAGTCTTAACAGTGCAACATCATTAGAAACGTGTCACAGGTGTCTGTCTACTTGGGTGGTTTTGAACTTTGATTAAATTAAAGCCCCGCACCAGAAAGAGAGACGGTATTTTAAGCCCCCCCCCCCCATCGGGGCTTATTTGAAGGTGACGCTACCCCTTTGCAGTTGGTGTTGTAAAGGATAAAAGAAATCCGGAACAAAACTCTAACAAGTAGCGTGTAACATTACATGTATATCGTGTTTTGTTGGACATGTGGATCATAAGCGCAGATTTCGAAGATTCAAATGTCAACAGCTGGGATGTAATATATCATTTGTCATATCCACAGAACAGCTAGCTCCCAGGTACCGTGTGAATGTAAAATGCCAGAATTCCTGGGGCATATGTCAACATTTAACTGAATCTTTTCATATTGCTGCAAATATCTGGGTGGCTGATTACAAAATAATTTGAATGTTGTAAAAATATCTTACCCAAATCGTTCAACTCCACTGCTGTGACGCTGGTTTCATCCGATTTTCCTTTATTCGGTCTTAAAAAGGGGAAAAAGGGAAAAGACAAACACCTGCTTGTAAAGCTGCGTGTTTTGTTTTCTTGAACACCTCCCCCTCCAAAAAAAAAAAATAAGTACGCACACTTGTCCTGTCGCAAAATAACAATAAAAATATTTGGAATTGCAAACATCGAAACAAAGTGAGAAGTGAAAGGTTTGATGTGATTGATTGATTGATTCGATTGGATTCGATTGATCGAATGATTTTCTCGCTTGCTTGCTCTTCATGTTTGCTCCATTCCGAAAACCGATTGTCGGAGGAATTAGGTGTCGGCGTACCGGTTTTTAAGGATGTATCAGTGAAGGTCAAACCCCAAGCTGTACGTCATTACAATACATAGGTATGGCTTTTACTTACTTGTACTTTTTTAGCATTGGCTTTCGAACACCTGTGAAGAAAAAGTCAGAGCAGTTTTATATGTACTAGAGAAAGGTTCCTCAATTTGGTTTTAGGGGTGTGCATTGTAACCTCCGTATCTTCTTCACGAAAGGTCACCATTTCAAAAAGAACTTTAGCTTGGCGGAAAATAAAGTTCACAAGATCACAGTCATGAGTGAACTGAAGACCATGATATAAAACTCTTGATTTTGTGTAGGGTACCACGCAGGTTTTCAAACTGGGATGAAATAATTATCCACTAGTTGGTGATAAATGACTTAAGCCACAGGGATGTTCTCACTCAGGTCAGTGTTCGCCGTCCTGTATTTACGGTAGACAACAACGGCCAATACCATACTGACGATCAGCAAAAATACTACCAGCACCACAACAGCGGCAACAAGGCCCAAGTTGTCTTTCGACTGAACACCTGGAGCATAAGAAAAGAAAATTTAAAAAACACTCAGGAATAGTTTATTTTTGTTATTATCATGTAGGTCTATTTTGGATATTTCTGTGTTTGTTTTCAAAACCAAAATTTAGGAGGAATACTCCGTTTTCTGTTCCCTCAATGTTCTCGTCGAGAAATCTCTTGGTTGGGCCTAAGCTTAGATGGACTTAAGGCAAAAGAAAGATCTACGCATGAGAAAATAATGGCATTGATTTCCTTGGAAATCTGAAACAACTGAGCCTTCTAAGATAAGATTTAGTTTTGGGGTGTGCTATTTAAACAAAACCATCGTTCCACACATTTAAAATGCAAGAAAGACGAAGGGAAACAGTGCAATCGGAACAATGTTTGTCTAAGAAATCGTTCAATCTCCAACAAAGTACAACCAACCATAGGCTTCATGCATAGGCCAACTTTCACAACTTCAACCATCACTGAAACTCTGTCACAATATTGTGACGAATAAACGATATAACGTTTGAAAGGCGAAGTTGAAATCACAAATTCTCTAAAAAAAAAACTAAGAATATTTAATTAACATATCTGATGGCACTGAGCAATTTCCTACAGCCAATCCAGACATACCGTCAGCTTTGTAAGGTAGAGCTGGTTTAGCAGGAGTTTTAGTAGGTTTCTCGCCAATCGACTCGTACTGTGGGTGATCAGTCGGTTTTCCTGGTGGTAATAAGAGGAAAAAATATATATTGTTCTGCCTGGGATTTTTTTTGCCCAAGGCGGGTACCAGGTGAAACGCCTCACTGTAGAGCAAACGGATTACCTAACCGCATTCATCCTCTAATCTCTCCTGAGTTATGGGTAAACCTGTCTAACTTATCCAACAGTTGTAGGAAATGTCATTTGTAGTACAACTTGTTTACCTAGTGTTTTATGCGCTTTTTACCCAACAGTCAAGCGATTCACCGGTATAACCCGCATCGGGCAAAATATTCCCCAACGTATGAGGAGTAAAGGAAAGTTTCAACCACGACACTTTCAACTAGACATTTGCCGCACGGTACCCACGCCTACTCTGGCATTTGTCAATTAGCCCCATTTTAAAGCAATGTTTATTCTGTGTACTTCTTGTCTGGAAAATCGTCTTCTAGTCTAAATTTCTTAGATAAAGTTCGGAAGTAGCATTTAGATAAACACTATACGTTTTAATTGGTAATTATATTGACATTTCGGAAGTTGAGAGTTTTGGCATCGTTGACAAAATAATATTTCCTGTTTCTCCAAATACGACCAATTACCAAATGAACTCTTTGGAGCTCCTTGGAATGTCTGATTTTAAGTGATAAAACAATTCCTTTCGATAAAATCTGCAATTAGGAATTTGTAACCTGAAAAGTAGAAACCAAATTAATGCGTTTGAGCGATCTGAAAGCGCTTCATATTGTTTTGCAGCCTCTTCTGTCGAAAATAGCTAGAGTCACCCAACCTTTGGGTATGGGACCTTGATATTGTGTTTCACCAATAATAATTTATAGCTGGACACACTTTCGATTGGCGGCTTAGAAAAGAATTTGTGAGCCCAGGAACTTACGTAAAGTGGCAACAATCAGTTTAGCGGCTTCACTGGAGCCAACGTCGTTCTCTGCATTAACCTCGATCTCGTAGACGGTGTAGGCACGCAAATCGACCAGAGTGTATTCGGTGACGTCATGACCGAGTCTTTTACTTCGAGTGCTAGGGTTGAAGTCAGTTGTCGTAAGTACCTCGCGGTAATTGACGTAAAACCACTGAGCGCTTCTCTCGTCGTTCCCAGGGATCCATGTAATTGTAATGGAGTCATGTGACCTCCCATCAATGGTCACGTGTTGAGGAGGCAATGGCTTAACTGTTATAACAAATATATTAAATTTTGATTCTGTTATGTTAATAAGAATGTTAGTGCATAAGGAGGATTGTTCTCTAAACAATATTCTGTTCCATTTTTTCTCAGTATTTACGATAAATAACGATCAAAGTTACCGGTAACTTAAAAACCTCCCACTGCAGGCTCTTAATGGAGGGTGTAACTTGGGACATTTGAATTAATGACAGTTTACCTATAACTAGTTAGAATTTCTTTCGGGAAGAGAGATACAATCTATTGAAATTGAACAATATTTTAGATCCACAGCGTCTGCTTCAAGAAAAGAAATAATCCACAGCCTTCGAAGACTGCCGCACAAATATAAAAACTGAACTTAGTCAGCCTCCACGTGTCATCATTAGGGCTAGTTTTGGTTCCAAGACCTTCATGTAGTTTTTTCCGCAATACAAACCATCATCAGATGAACTGCTGTCACAGGTATCTCAGGAAGGTCTTGGATATTTCCTTTGATCGGGCCGGCAACAGACTACGGTAATAAGGACATGCATTATTCGTATCATGTGAACGACGACCGGAGGTGATCGATAATGCTTCACTTTTACGAACTATATTTTCAATCTGAAACATCATCCAACATCATGTTCAACAAGGTTTTTTTTTTCAAACACCCGAAGTTAAGCACTCACAAATGCCCTTCTTTAGTCTGGGACAGCAGCCAAGAACGTAAGATGAGCGCAGATAACCTAAACATTTGAGCAGTTGGTACACTGTTACAGATGGCCTTGTCACAGTGAATCGCGCGCAACACACTACAAGCATATCGGCTTGCAGCACTGCAAAGGCGTCTTGGACCCAAGACTACAGTATATAAGGGTCAGCTTTGCAAGGACAATGACGATATCATATTTAGTTAACTATAAGTTACCTGGTGCTGTCGTAGTTGAAGAAACTTCAAATGGTGACGCTGAAGTTGAACCATCTACAGCTGGTACAACAGTGGTTGGCCCGGCAATTAATGTTAATGTTGAGGTTGGATGACCTCTGGTGGTGAATGTAGTAACTTGAATTCCACCTTGAGTTGTGGTCGTTAAGCCCATCTCACTGAAATGATCACTTGGGAATGTGGTTGTTTCTTGAACTTCTGCTTGACATGAGTGAAAGAGAGATGAAAGATATGGGAAGTGACCATTATCCTTTCCGAGACATGATTGGATAGGATTGGATTGGGTTAGATTGGATTGGATAAGATTGGATTGGATTAGATTGGATTTAAATGTGTTGTTCTCGTAAAAACACAGAAATTTGACTCCACTGGATAAAAGCATATTACGATATTAGAACACATTATAAAGCACGTAAATGTTCTAACAAATCATCCATACACACTTTACACACATCGAATACAATTGTCGAACTAACATTTAACGTCCCGCCCAGATTCTTTCGAGCAAACCTACAGCAAAGGCATCATTTTAATATACATTTACAAAAAATATGTGATGGCTGTTATCGTCAGTGCGTTGGATTACGCCAACAACTGCACAACTCCTGGCTTCAAAGAATTTGATTTATTGAATCTGTTTGACTGGTTTGATGCTCCTAATTCATAAGCTATCTTAATGACTCACAACGAACATCGTATCTTACTTCTTTTCAGTTGAATTCTTAATGTGCCGACCATGCCTATTCCACTCCCACTGCTGCAGGAGTAATAGCCGTAGTCTCCTTCACCAGTCACTCTGCTGAAGTGTAAGATGCTCTTTACTGTGTAACCACAGGCATAATCCCCACCAACTAGTGAATCAACCTGAAAGAGCCTGCCTGGCTCTGTCTGATTGGTTATCAATGCGCCTAGTGGACTGGACCATATTACGATAGGGAGGGGGTTTCCTTTGACAACGCAAACCAGGAGGGCATCCTCTCCTACGTTGGCTTCGACAAAGTTGTCCGGTTTCTTGTTTACGAAGCTTACTTCATCTATAAAATGAACCAGACATAAAAATATAAAACAAAAAAGAGTCTGACATAAGCATTTCTATCAATTTGTCAGTATTTCGAAATATAAATGTGGCAGCAAACTAAACTTTATTGCTTTTTGTTGATGTCATGTTGGATGAAACATCTGACCACAAGTTGCCATGTCAAAATGCGGGACTAATTTAACACTAATTTCATAAATTTGAACCAGGTTGAATTAATATTATTTCTTTTGTCCGTTAATTAACCTCTCAATCATTAACAGTCTTTAGTATTATGAAAACACAAACTGTTTCTATCAAAATTGAGTGCATTATTAGCAAAATTAATTTCTTTTGAATCCAGAATAATTTAAGGGTCTTATTTGAGGTGAGACCTCCTTTCATTATTCAACAATATAAGTATATCATCAGCAAGAGACTTGAGTCTTGTTAAAACTGTCCACCGTCTCCACTTCATGTTTAAATAGCGAGAAAGAGCTTACAGTGCACAGCTACATTGATCTGGCTTGAGTAAACCACAGGTGGTACGCCGTTATTTCCACGACACCTGTATGGGCCAGCCTGGTCCCTGCTGATGTTGCGTAGCGTCAGGATGCTCGTACCATGAGCGTATACAGACGACAGGGAGTCCGGAAATCCAACCTTCTCCCAAGTGATGAAGCCAGGAGGCATGGGATTGGCTTCTGCGCTGCAGGACAGAATGACGTCATCGCCCTCATCGACCGGACGAAGTGGGGTAGCGATCGGCTCGGAGAAGTATGGACGGTCTATAAGCATGAAGAAAAAAGTGAAATGCTCCTTATAGATATGCCAGATAATGTTCTTACGTCTTGACAGCTCATTTACAAGAGAAATTTATCTATTGAAAGTAACTGTCATCCTTGGAAAGAAAAGTCTGATATAAACCTTTCCGAATTTTCCATTATTAACCCTGCATTTTTGAATATTGAGAGTAAAAATGAAAGCAATAAAATGAAATTTTCAGTTTGCACCTGTATACTTTGGTGATTAAATAGACAACGCTGTGCTTTACGCTCCGGAGCAATTTATTTAGCTAGTCTTTCTGTTTTTTCTTACATGGTTTCTCAGACTACTGGACAGAGAATTTCGGAGGGAAAGTGAAGGCTTCAGGGGGGCAACTTTTCAGAAATAGCATGCTTATAATTCTTACATTGTACATTTAATGAACAATATCCACACAGTTTACTGCAGATTGAACTGGTTGCACAACACTTAAATAAAGCTCCACTGTCTCTCTTTGTCAGAACGCCCGTTATGAAGTCCAGTGTCGTCACTTGGCCTCCGTAGTCTCCATCCGTCAATACCGGCTGAGCATGGCTCGTGTGCTGCACGTTGTCTCTGAGCCAAGTTAGGTTGGTCGATGGATTGGCAGTCTCAGCCGCGCAGCTGAGGGAAACACTTCTGCCTGACATTACCCGTCGTGGGCAACCAGTGATATGTATCATCTGTGTACAAACTGTGGACAAAATGAAAACAAAAAATTGAGACACGTGATATCACAAAGCAAGGGTGATACCTTCCACTTGCTGTCTTAATATTGTGTTCCGCACGTTAACATTATTGAGTATGCAGAGTGTAAGCTTGGTAAGTTTCCAACACTTTCTATCCGTATGGTTTTTCGCAATATCAGTCGTTTTAAACAATACTGTATCCCCCTTCACAATAATATCACTCCCTTTTACAAATTCCACAATCATTTATTCGCCAGATTTTATTATACTGATATGATACACAACCTATACGGCATTGGTTTTGGCAGCACGTGCGATTGTTTTTTTCCTGACTGCTTTGTATGAAGTCTTCAACTTAAAACGCACAGCAAATGGTGGATTTGTATGGACACCAAAGCATTTTTATAGTCCGTGTTTGTTTGATGGCTTATTACTGTGGTATTTTTCGCAGGACCCCGGACAGCCCCACTTTTTGTAGGTTTTAGGCACATTGCCAACTGTGCCCACTCAACAATCTGGCTCTGTGAAAGATACCGTCTTTTAACTTAGTTTGACATTCTCTCTCCCTGGCCAGGGAACGTTTTAATTGTGAAATACACCGCTATATACCAAGGTCATACAAAATACTTCTATACAAAAAGCGTACACTGCACGTCTAGAGGGCCGAGGGAAGTTTCTGGCGGATCAGTCCAAGACTCCTTGCGCGCCACACACCGAATGGTATCACCATTATTGTCTCTCGTTGGGGTGAACCTCAGGAAGGAAGTGAACATAAACCGATTGTCCTGTGGCGCTGAGGCTGTCTGGTTGGAAGGTAACGGCTCATCTCCACTGTACCAATGCAGCGACCAGTCGGATGGGAAACCCATGGACGCTTGGCACTCCAGTAAGGTTGAAATATTCTCAGTCATTGAAGGGCTGCCTATGATTATTGGCGAGTCTGGTGGACCTGAAGTGGAAACGGAATTCATTTTGTTATGGTTTTTCTGCGCTTATGGTTCCTTGGGTGGGCCTTTGCCGGCTTACGTTTGCTGCAATACAATTTATAACCGTCAATAAGTGCATGAACCCGTATGGTCTCTTCTAAAATGTCTGGCTTTGTCGGTATATAAGGGTATGAATGGTTTGAGTGTCCTAACCTCTCACTCTCTTTCTGTCAATAGGTACATTTACAGGTACCCAATTTTGGAGCATAAAAAGCACCATTAACAGTAAGCATCTAGGCCAAGGTATTTCAAATCTACAATTTGTGTGTGTTTTTCTTTGTCCATTGTATTTAGTCAGTCTTACCATTCACAATAAGCGTAACTGTCACAAACGGCAATGGCTGGTTTGAATCTGCCGTACTGGCTAAACACTTCAATTCTTGTCTGTGATTGAATCTGCTCGGTGTTAGCGTCCACGAATCAGTTGTATTCACCAATCTGTTTCCTCCTCCTGAAGATGGACTTTTGGTACTTTGCAAGACATCGTTTAGAAACCATTCAATAACTGGTGCTGGTCTGGTACCCTGAACGTCACACCAAAACATCGTCGGTGTACCCTCGTCCAGTTCTACATCACCGTACAGTCTGGTACCAGCAGCATCAGATAATATCATGGACGAAACTTTGGGTGGTACTAAGAAATCAATCAAAACATAACATATGTGTTTCTGGTAGGCATACATCTTGCGTTTTCCACCATTCTCCTTACAAAAGTGAATATCCCTTTTAAAAAATACATCAAGGTCGAAAACCAAACTTTTCTGTTAATTGTGGCACTTATTTAACTCGAAATTAAAATATTAAACTGCATCAAGCGATCAGTAACGTGCATAGAAGAGATACCGGCAGAGTGAATTACTGATAACCGTTGAATAATTGATTACTGGACCGCATGGTATCTGACCTTTAACGAAGAGCATAACACTGGTACTAATATCCACTGGACCGTCTTCACTGAACACCTCACACTGCAATAACCATCCGTGCTGGCTCTCTGTAGGCAGCACCGTTACGGTGCTTGTTCGGTTGCTCCAACTATTGGATGAGCTCTCGGCAGCGCTGCTGCCGGTGCCCGCAATTCCCTGGCTACCCAGCGTCCAAGTGAACGATGCATCCGCGTCAATGTCACGAGCACTGCATGTGAACTCATGAGGCTGTCCTTCTACAAGGTATGCTACACCGCCAGATGAGGGGTAGCTGCCGGCCGAGTCCAGCATGGTAAGACCAGTTGGAGGTGCTGGCGGGTGCAACCAAATATCATTTTTATTTATAAGCATTCCATTCAAATATGGATATCAACTTTTGGATGTCAATCGCTGGTAAGCAGTAACAACGACTCCCTTTAGTGCTTTATAATTACAGGATTATTCAGCTTGAACAATTCAGTTTTTAATATCGAAGTCACTCTCATCTGTTTGAATGATCTCCAGTGCAGAAGTGAAATATACAGTTTGAATGAAAGACCCATTGTTTTACTAAAAATGACCAATATATCGGATCCTAGGTATTGGAATGTAAAGATTTGTTTGAATGCTGCATAGTTAAGTTGAATTGAATGAAAGGACTCAAATTGAAGGCATCACTGTGTATAAAATTGGAGACCACGTGTATACAACGGCCCTTTGCATCCATGTTTGGTGGCCTTGCCTGTCCTGATCAAAAACGTACCGTTGATGTCAAGCGTGATAGCCACTGAGGGGAACGGCTGCTGTGAATCGGATGTGTTGGCTACACACTTCAACTGCTGGCCGTGGTCAGCCCGGCTAGGGATGAACGTGAAAGTAGCTGAGGTATTCACCAAATCGTCACCTGCTGTGGATTTTGAACTAACAAAACCTCGAGGGTCATCTCCCACGAACCAATAGATAGTTGCCGCTGGTCTGGTGCCCTCCACCCTGCAGGTCAAATTTTGCGCTGTGCCCTCGTCGACTTTAACGGTAGACTGGAGCCGGTTTCCGGCGGAATCGAAGAGTGACATGCGCGATGCTACAGGAGGAACTTATAGCAAAATAAAGGGAAGATTTCTTCTTATCTACAATCATGAGAATCGCAAATTAACCTTTTTTAAACAATTTTAACAATTTTTTAAAAAACTTCCCAGAAATAAGGGTATCAAAAGAAAGTATGCAACTCTCCATGTTCGAATATTTAAAAAAACACACATTGTGCTTTAACTGCTGCAATTTAAATCGAAAAAATGCAGACATGTTTCAGCAACAAAACCCAGCCGCGAAACGGGAAGTTCTTGTACCTCTGACGTCTAGAGTTACGCTAACTGCAATTCCTGGATCGCCATCTTCGTTCGAAGCACGGCACTGCAGCGTGTCACCGTGGTTGCTTCCAGTGGTGGTAACAGTAGTAATACTTGTACTGGTGGTCAGTCCATCTTCACCGGCAATATGAATGTTTCGATCCGGTGTGACCTCCTGCCCGCCCAGCGTCCAGAGGAATGAAGCCCCTGGATTGGTGCGCGGTACTTCACAGGTAAACTGGTGGCCAACACCAGCCACCACGTAAGAAACGCCACTAGAGGATGTGTCGTTTGTTGTCGAGTCGAACAGGAGGATAGTTTCCGGAGGAACTGCATGTGGTATGACACGAAATAAAAATTAGATTACATGTATTCAAATTTATATGATTAAAACTTTAACCGACTCTAAACATCACGCCCATAATTTAAGTAAACTTAAGTGAAGGGATGCAGAACGACGGCATGTATTTTACACCTTGTTTCCTCTATTCATGACTTTTTTCGAGAGAGGGATATTTTACATAGCCTACGTTCATCTAAATTACATTAGCAGGCATTCACGGATGAAAATTGCCAGAGAAGCCAAGTAAACCTTTATACATTTTAATCAACTTCCCCGAGTGGTTAGGACTACAAAATTACACAGAAAGGCGGATGATCCTTACCCAGGACATCTAGGGTCACGGCTACAAAGGGAAACGGTCGTCGTGACTCTGCCGTACTTGCCACACACTTCACCTGCTGACTGTGATTGACCCTTCCTAGAGTGAATGACCACGTGTCGGTCGTGTTGACTAATCCATCACCTCCTCCAGAGGGAGCACTAGCAGTGCGCTGCGACTCGCCGTCAAGAAACCACTCGATGGTTGCGGCTGGTCTTGTACCCTGTACCTCGCATGTGAATGTTTGCGGGGTGATGCGTTTCACTTTGGTGATGGTATGTATTCTTGCTCCACTTGAGTCATACATGGTCATGGAGGACACCTTTGGTGGGACTTCAAAAAAAAATCAACAATGCTTCATAAACTTCCAGAAATTGTCTGGGTTCCTTTTAGTTACTTATGTGTTCATATCGAAATGCATCATATTATTTACAAGCTTAGGCTAGCGTTGGATTTCTTTATGTATTAATTTCGTTTGAAACATTTGCTACCTTTGACATCCAACAACACGCTGACACTGATGCTAGGTTGGTTGAGCACATTCCAGGCTGTACATTTCAGCAATTCACCGTGGTCATACCCTGTCGCCGATATGGTTATGAAGCTTGTACTGTTAAACAACCCATTGGCATCGGTAACATTTGTGTTGTAATCTGGACCGATCACCTGACTTCCCACCATCCAAATGAATGAGGCCCCTGGGTCTATTCCAGGCATCATGCACCTGAACTCGCGATCAACTCCTACCACGAGATATGCTATTCCACCAGTGATGGGGTAGTTCCCAGTTACATCCGATAAAATGATGATTGTAGGAAGAACTGAAGAGCAAAAACATACAGACACGATACCTTCATTACCGTCATTTTTATCATCCTTTTCAGTTGGAAGAGCCTTTTATTGGAAGGAGTTGCACAGTTTATCTCATCACACAGTCACATCAGTGGTGTAAATTTATGCCAAAATTTAGAAGATCATACACGGTGTCCACATTAAACTTACAAGGTAAGAAACGAAAACAAAGCAGATGATATTGATTCAGGTACATTCCTTGTTTTCAAGAACGTGTTCTTAAAGCAAAGATGTTAGATCACTTCTCATGTTAGTGCGCCCTCTTTCGCCCGCAAAAACCCGCAGGGCATATACGATAGGTTGGCGATGCAGCATGCACATGGCGCCAGAAAACTGACCAAAATCTTGACCCAGATCTCAGGTCCCTATTGGGGCCCGAGTGCCAGAAGAAACTATCGCGGTCAGGTGTCGTAGCTGACTGGTGAGCTTACAGTTGTATTTGCTATATTTTCTGTTCTAAATAGAGTAGTGTTTTTGTAGTTATAGGCCTACACGTTGAAATTTTTAACCTTGCCACGTGGAATCTGCCACGTTACACAAAACTGGGGGGACGCCATACTTAGACCACGGGGCTTATTCAATCCATTTTGATTAGTACAGTGTCTTTTTAGCTCATTTATAAATACATGTACATGTATCACATCTCTGCTTGGAGACACTCATAGTATTAACCTGTAAAGAGAACCCTGTCAGTGCCAAAACAATTTAACTATTTGGATACAGTTGCAGACAGCAAAGTCAGCAAAGAGCCCGAATGTCAGAGTTTGAGGCGTAGAGCAGTCACATCACGTGAGCATCCTTATAAATGTTCTTCTCTAATTAAAAGTGGTATTTCTCGACAAATTTCCAAATCTGTTGTTGAACATACCGTACTTTAATTGTTGGTAAACTTGATTATGGCTGTATAGTTGTTTAAGGTTATATTTCCTAAAACTGTGACAACGCACATAAAACCTTTGCTCATTCGATCCAGTTTGTATTTTTCCTTTATTTTTTTTTAGTCACCAGACGATAAACAGGTAGTCACCCAGACATGATTGGGACAAATAAACGTTGATAGTCCAATTGATGGTCACGTGTTGCCTGTTTCTGCGTCTGTGTGAAGTGGCTTAAAGCGTCCCCTATAACTGGCCTTAGGGGCAGTTAACAAAAGACATGTGGTATCTGCACATTAGTATGGTTGAGCCTTGTTTATCAAAGATGCCACAAGTCTGATTTCAGTGTCAATACCAGCACAAGCTGTATACCATTGCAAAAAGGATATTCTGACCTTTCTAGGGATGTGTTTTTTCTTTCCCACATAAAAAAGTATTTTTGCCATGAGAGTAATTTTTATCTTGGTATACTTATACACCCTATGTTGACATCAGGCATGCCTTTTTGCTTTACTATGTAGTTACCAAGGACAAAATGATGACGTTGAATAATCTAGGGCTTAACCAATTGTCTTACTACCTTTGACGTGTATCACAGCCATGATCGAGGGGTACGGCTCTCGCAACTCTTCTGTACGCGCCACACACTTGACCTCTTGACCTTCGTTGGTTCTATTCGGCGTGAAGGACCAGTTGCCCGAGGTGTTCATGAATCCATCGCCCGCTGCAAGTGGTTGCACGATGGTTCGTTGTAGCACGTCATCTAGGTACCATTCAATCGTCACGGCTGTTTGTCTTATCAACATCTGGCAAACGAAGATTGATGGTATCCCTTGGTATACCTCGGCAGTTGCTCCTAAGATGGTTCCACTTGAATCCCGCAGTGACATGGCTGATACCTTCGGTGGCACTAATAAAAACACAGTACTTATTACTTTAATCATAAGATAATCTTGGGTACATTCTTAAGGGACTGCGTATCCAGCAGAGGGGGGCTTTTGATTTTTTTCTCCCCAACATCATGTTCAATGAGTCCAAAGCCACATTCACTTTGGAATCCCCCCCCCCCCTTATTTAAAAGCTCGATACGCGTCTGTTCCGTAGAGAGATGCATCACTGGAGACAAGGAACATATAAAAAAGAAGCCTTTGTGTCTTTTACCAACACCTCAAAACGCACGACGATTATCTTGTGAGAAATTAAACAGTTGCCACATCTAATCCGTTACTTGATGTTCTTATCGCCATGTTTGGACAGTTTATTGCGTCTTTCTCTACTGAAAGGCTAAAGATTACTTAGTCTGAAATGCTGTGATAACGAGACTTTCATACGTTAAACGTTTTGTTAGGCAGGTTGTGAAGGCAAGTATAATTCAGTACATAAGACAGGCGAGATTAAAAATGTAGATGCAATTTCCCCCTTTTTGGTAACTTCTCTACTGGTAACTGCATTTAAGTGTATAGGCTCACCGGCACAACTGACAGTATTTTGTGGTTTTCATAAAACGCCCTAAGTCAGAGTAATTACATTCTCCCCAGTAAAACTTTCAGCAAGCACAGTCATAAGAGTGCTCTCCTTTTATAGACGGCATCTTACAGCCTTCAGGGTGGTTGCTGTCAGTGTTGGTTTCCCTGTAGCATACGTGTGTGCATGCTACAGGCAGACGATCGTTTTGGCACAAACAGGTTGGTAAAACCCGATTTCAATCAACGCTATTACTGTGGCTCAGGAGGAGTTTATTTTTTCAAGGGGAAGTAAAGTCAGACATTTCAACTCGGCTAGGAGCCTTGACGACTCGTCTCAAGACTCACAAAAGGTATTTTCCCATACGAGAGTACATAATGTAAAAGAGAAACATGCCCCCTAAATGTGCGTATTATTGCCATCAAAAACTATGTACTCAGCTATATTTATCGGAAACCAGACTGTCTGCTGCCCACGTGACTCCTAAACTGATGACTACAAATACAGCAGTTCTCACGCAGTATTACCTACCCGTAACATCTAGCGTTACGTTGGTAGCAATGCCAGGGTGACCGTCCGTGTTGGAGGCCTTGCATTGCAGTATCAGTCCGTGATCACCTTCCGTTGGTACCACGGTAGCAACACTCGTGCTAGTGGTCAAACCATGGGTACCAGTGACGTGATTGTTGGTGTTTGCTGTGATGTGCCTACCGCCGATGGTCCACGTGAAGGAAGCCCCTGGATCGATGTCTGGCACGACACAAGTAAACTGGTGCGCCCATCCTTCCACTAGGAATGCTTTACCTCCAACTGGAGGGAAACTGCCCGACGGATCAGATAGGGTGATTTTTGTGGGATATGCTGTAAGACAAAAGTTTACACCTCGAAACTTTACTTTGTTTACAATAACATGCAATAAAATTTCTACTGGCTGAGTTTCAAAGTCTTTTGGACTACTTCAGTAGGTCGCTACTTACGATATAAAGACTTAGTAATTAAGTGTAAGCACAAAGTGCCGAAGTGTAAGATTATCCAGAGGCCTATCTAGCAGGGGAGCAAGTTGCCCCCTCCCACACCCACCCAAGGAGACTAGGTGCCGTATTAAGCCCAAGCAATGTTGATACGGCAATTCCAGCTTTCTTTGCAATGGTTTGCAGATTCTTTCGAAGATTCAAAGCCTGACGGTGTCACTTTAAAAGTGCTTATGGGTGGAAAGAAGTACGTACCAAAGACAGAAAGGATAACCATAACTGAGGGATATGGCTCGCTTGATTCTGCAGTTCTCGCAAGACACCTGACAACCTCTTTGTGATTGGTCCAATTGGAAGCAAATGTCCAAGTTCCCGTTGTGTTGACCAATCCGTCTGCAGCTTCGGAGTCTGGGTTCTGGGTGTGCCGTAAGGTGTTATTGAGGTACCACTCGATGGTGGGAGCCGGTCTTGTGTCCAATACTTCACACGAATAGGTACGCGGGATGCCATGGGTGACATCTTTAGTCGGTCCAAGCTTGGTCCCCGTAGAATCGTAGAGTGCCATAGACGATGCAACTGGGGGAACTTTTGTCATAAAATGCTTTGCAATATTATTGTGTTGGTTAAATGCTCGAGATATTTCAAGAATTTTAGGTTTTGACAACTAAAAGCAACGGATGTTCACAAGTCTTTGCATGAGGTTCTTACTATTCAAAAAAATGTACTGCTTTGGCTACTGTATTTCAAATAAGATTTGATTTCTTAATATTTGTGGCCAAGACCAAAAATGTTAATTTTTCTATATATGTGGCTATTTTCTTCATAGTTTAGTCTTATGTCATGCATTTTTAAAGACAAACCTAGAGAGGTAACACCGATGCTTATACAAACAATTCAGTTACCCGAACTACAACACTTGCCTTTGACATCTAGGTGAACCGCAACCTCTACACCAGAATTGCCGTGACGGTCATGGTTTGACGCGTGACACTTCAGAAGATCTCCATGCATTGTCCAGTTCACGGACAGAGTGACCAAGCTTGTGCTGGTGGTCAAGAAATTTCCCTTCCTAGTGTGAGTAGTCGTGTCCTGTGTGACCTCCTGACCTTCCAACGTCCAAACAAACAATACCCTCGGATCGATGTTTGGTACTTCGCATTGAAACTGATGGTCGGTCCCCGCTACGAGGTGAGACGTATCACCGGTCAGATAGTATCCATTGGTGTCAGACAAGTTCATGCTTGTTGGGAGTACTAAATTGTATAACATAAATTAGGCAAAAAGAGTCAGTTAGAAAACACACTGGCAACCGAAATTTTATTCTTGACTTTTTAAAGAGTAAACACTCTACAGGCCATGCTGTCACAGCTACATCCTCCATCTTCCTCACGCTTTCCAATGATTCTAATAAAATTGTTATATTTGAACTGTCAATGAGCTCAAGGCCAAAAACCATTAAACTGTGTGGGCAGGTAAAACGCTATACTCCTACCTTTGTGGGCATAAGATGGATAATACGGTCACATTCAAATGCTATTGATGCTTTTCAAACAACTTCACAAAAGAATATATTTTTAAGTTAAAGATGGTTATGAACCTGAAAAGGTTTACGATTTTAAAAATGGCAAGCTTTAAAGCATTCATCATTCTGCGAAAGACAACTCAGAAAACTTGTTATTTGTGAAGAAAAAAGAATTGTTCGTCTGTTCCCTTCCAGCTTTACGAAGGACACTAGAGTCACATACCAATACTGGTTGTAGTGATGTCGTCTATCGCAATGTCTCCCTGAAAGTCGCGTCCTCGTACAGCTTCAATCGCTACTCTGAAGCTCTCAGTGATGTCCGTTATATTGACCTCAGCTTGAAGCCATGTTGTTCCGTTGGTCTGTTCACCAGTCCGCGTGAAAAGAATATTCCCAACTTCCAGGGTTCCATTTACCGGTGTCTGGTAGACGTTAAGAGTGCCTAAAAGTGAAGAATGCATTGAGCTTAAGACCACTGAAAATAAGGTATTTGGCACATATTGTCAATATTGAAAAGTCAAGACATCAGAGTTACATTGATACGAGCTCAATATATATCACGTGCTTTCAACTTTCACAAGGGGAAAAATTAAATATTGATTGTTTCTTCCTACTAATTTTCCTTTCTTTCTTTCGTAACTAATCTTTCTTTCTCATCATTGCATGCTCATTATTACCACTGTATTAAGATGGCCTCTACTTTGACAAAACTCCACTCTTATCGACCGTTGATGCTACATGAGTCGTTTTTACATGTAGGAAAATGAAACAGTGAGTGGAAATACTAAAATGGCATTCTCAGTTTTGTAGCCAGGTAGTCGGTTTTGGAATACAGAGTACTGCCGCGTACTTAAATTTCCGAGTACCTGAAAGTGTGAGTACTTTACCAGCCGAATACAAGAACTGATTTTCAAGTAAGAGTACTGCTAACTCCGAGTACGAGTACTTCTAACTACGAGTACACCTCACTACGAGTACTTTAAATCTTTGTAAATAGTAAAACTTGTCGGTCAAAGTGTTTTAAATTTGCAGGTGATTGTTTTTATTGAAATATGCCATAGCATTCCCAAATCAGTCTGTTTAGGTCAGGTTGCAGATTATATTTAGTCCCAAAACTGTGTACATGTATCTTAGCCTCCTTGGCAAAACATAGAAGTACAACATTTATACAGCAAGAGAAAGAATATCAGTTCTGATGCACCGACAACAGCAAAAGCATTTAGGCCTACTCAGAGGTAAAATGTAAAAGCATCAAGAATAAGCAAATGGCGTTAATGCATGGCCCAATTTCACAGAGCTGCTTAAGTATAAAATTGCCAAATGCCAAAACAACTTACTTAAAAATTAATAGAGAATTAATACGACTTTAATCGTGCTTTTTAAAAGTTCCCTTCACTAGCCTTATATTTTCAAAGATTCATGTAAACTCATCTGTCCCCCTTGCACCTTTCGATAAAGGAGTAAAGCAAAGTTAAATCGTGCCCACGAATTACCAGTTTATATTAGACATACCAATCGTGCTTCCGTGCATGTTGTACCAGAAGTTGGCATACCACGTTAGACCGGGATATTGGGGATCATACTCGAATATGCCACTGAGCAGCACGGCATTATCTCCTGCACTCAGAGGACTACTCGCCTCCAAGTAGCAATAGTGACCATTGGTATCTGTGAAGTGTAATAAAGAAATGCCATAAGATTACACTTTCTAGAAAGATCACTTCAGCAATGAAAAATCACACGAGTATAATCCAAACTACAACTTTACGTTCTCTATGCCGAATGCCTGGGCGTAGATGGTGGATTAAGATATATCCCCCCCCCCCATTTTTGACTAGGTGGATGCGTGCAAGGCCATACCTTGTCTACGCATAGTGTTGACATTATGCAAATTGTGTGAAATACGTACACACCTGTACACGTGAATGTATGCTACTTCCCTCAGGGGAAAACCCAACAGGAATCAGTGCTAAAAAAAGTTTTGGTGTAGTCGGCCATTTTTTCTGAGCGTCCGCTTTTTTTTCGAACATCCCATCCTTCAATTCACTGCTTACTTCCTGTGGTCCTGTCGAATTCTGGACCAGTGCCTCCCGATTCTGTTTGTCCCTGGTGTCGACAATTCCAGTCCGCATCGTCCTCTGTCGACTGGCTCCATCCACACATATCTCTCTCGAAGTCACAATCAGCACAAGGGGCTGGAAAGTTTTTTAAAAAATGTGTTGAAAACCTTTGTAGCGTATCTTGGAAAAGGCATCAGCGAGATCACGTAGGGCAAATTCGACCAAGGACCATAGCTAACCATATAGTCCGACTAACTGTAACTGAACGCACACTATAGTCCCAAATGGTTGGACTCGTCTATGCGACTGTTTGAGACCGGCCTATCAAGGTTGGTCAATGCATCAGTGGCTGCCATGGCTGTTTTAATGGCACAGTGATGAGAGAGCCAGTTATAAGAAAAGTTATGAAAAACATCCAATTTAAACATGTCACTGTTATGGGGTACACGATAATGTTTACTTTTCTTTGGTGATGTTGCTTCCTACGCCCACCCCCCCCCCATTCGTCTGAATGACTACTGGTCCTTAATCGGATTTGCCAATTGCTGTCGCTTTACGGTCCGTTACTGTTGCTATTTCTACTGTTGCATTAGAGATGCTACCAGCATTGATGACCCCCTCCACTGCCAATATGACTAGCTCGGCTCACGATGCACACTTGCAAGGCCATACATTATAGAAATCCGGCTCGTAAGTGTGACGTCACTTCAGATAATACCACGCCCACAACAAATTACCATTGAACCTGAAATTAACGCGCAACTTCAGCGCTCATCCAACTGAAAATTGCAATCATCGATATGTGAGCGTGAAAAAACACAGGATCGACCGGAGCGGCAGTGAAGCTTTTTGGTGTGTGCACTGTGCGTTCTAGATGCTCATTTCAATTCGCCTTGAGCTGAAGCACCACCTTATCGGTTGAAAAGAGCCATGTGGTAGAGAGTATTCATTTTGCCGGAAGTGACACGATCGTACTGCGTGCATTTCATGGTCGTTCGTGAAGCGGCGAAATGCAGTTTCCACCAAAGCAGCCTCCGTTGTTGGGAAAATTGCGTCCTCTTGGTCCAGCTCGGAGCTCATCTATGCCATAATGTACATCAACCAATTTTGATACGAAATTCGCCTTGTTTGGAGTTTTCCCACCAAAAACAACGTCGTCCAAGTAGAAACGATAGCTTTCCCTTGTTTCTGCACAGAAAAAAATTACAGCTTCAGCTGTCTTTGTTGCCAAAAGAGTCCTAACAATTCGAGAGAGTTGAAGCATATAATTCCAGTGTAAATAGGAGTTCAATCTCAACCCAGGAGATTCGAGAGATGTCTATTCGTTTCCTTAGTTTTAATCAAAAGGAGAAGATAATAACTTCACTGGAATGCATTCTCTCTAAATGGAAGAGGGAATTGTCTGCTTTTGCATTTGACGACCTATTATTCTGTAGTAAGGTTACTGCTGATGCCTTAATTTTAATCTAAAGGCCCAGGGCAGCCACTCGACATCTGTCTCACTTATGTCGTTGCAGTTAATTTCTCACGCGCTGAGCCTTCAGGAGTATTTGTAACAAGTCCTTCAAGTCATTTTCACACCAATTCAGTGAAAATAGCACTGACCGTTCTCACACAGCACCCATTTGTCCGGGACAGGTCCGCAAAAACAGTATATAGTTAACCCACTGATCACTGCTCAATGCCCTTGAAGGCCTTGCGGGCTGGCGTGCGAAAGGCCTTCAACTCCTTGTATCTTGTTGATAAAACTCCGGAATGGTCCTTTTTGACGAGTTGACATGAGTGAATTGGTGTTGACGAGAGCGGATTGGTGTTGATGGGAGTTGATTCTGATGCCCTTAAGTAAAAAAATATCTGATTCAGTTGAGACACCATATTGGAACTGAGGGCCCAGTTCTCGCCTGCCCCTTGCTGTGATAATGTTCCAAAATAACCAGGCTGTTTTAGTGCTGAATAATTGAAATAGCTGATTTGAATCGACAAAGGGCATATCTACCTTTAACTTGAACGTCATCAATTGCGATATCCCC